TTTGGACATAATCCATGCCCAGCAGATTGAGAAGAACGAAGTACCTCTGACCCTTGAAACCTAATAAAACACAAACTACGTAACGACAGTAGTAATTTAGGAGCTTAAAACTAGCTTCATTACAGCCTGAAATTTGGATAGAAAAGGCACTAAACAAGCTCCATGTGATATTCCATGCTTAACACATGCGAGACAAAGAACAACCGCTCATAAGTGGAGGAAGTTAAGCTTCATAATACTGGAAAGAGATTGATAGATCAAGAAAGACCAGTGTTTCCTTTAGACTTTTTGGTCTGGCTGACTTGCTAATGAAAGATCACATGCAGGAATGGACAGTTTCTTGTTAGACTGCTTTAGATATTATGTCTTCTGGGCTAGGGTTGAGATTGGTGGACTTCGAATTAGCCTTTAAAGTGCATATTGACCGAGCTATTGGAGGAGTCCTGTTCCACAATAGACACCCTTGTTGCTTTTGAGAGTCCAAGTTTGAATGATGCAAAATCAAGATACTTGGCGCATGGGAAGGAGATGACGCTGTAGTGCATTGCTTGGATAGGTGGAAGCATTTCTTGTTGGGGACCTAGTTCAAAGTGGTGAATGACAATGTGGCCAACACTTACTTCAAGACCCATAATATGCTAACAAACTACAAACTCGGTGGTACGAATCAGGGTTCAAAGCACCCTGACCGAGTCATATTTGACTACCTAGTGCACGAATATCATGAGACACAACTGAATCTGTATCGACTTGGACATATCAGCCCAACTCATAGTTGTATCGTTGCTGGTCGTTCGAGTTGGAACGAATCAAACTAATATGCTTAACATTGTTATGTAATCCCCAAAATCTTAGACTAGCAGTAAAAGGCCAAAGAAAATGGAAAAGGGGAGAAGAAAAGTAGCGAGAAGCATCAAAGAATCATATATACAGAACCCACACGCAACTTTGCAATTTTCAACCCTAAATCACACCTAGAAAATTGAATTTCCTTCTTCGTAGTTGAGTAGCTGTGCACTACCACAAAGACTCCATAGCTTTTGCGGTCGTAGCAATAGTGTTCAACGACTAAGACTCCACAGCCTTTGCCGTAGTCTTATACAAAACGTCTACAATAGAGGAGTTAAAAGACTCTTGAGGGACTAAAAGACTTTGTTGGTTTAGGTATGGGCCGTTCTTTTCATTGGTATTGGGTACTCCTCCGATATAATTCAACAATTTAAGTTTTAATACTTAAAACACATTATAGTCCTTTTTGTCCAATTCATAGATCTATAACATGTATCCACTTGATACTTAAACACATTATAGTCCTTTTTCTGATTCATATCAACCAATACTGTGTCATGACGCCGCGATCGATGTGTATTAGTGGTTTATTTAGTCGATGACCAATACCGCAACATTTAACTATGAGAGGAATACCTTGATGAGTTCAACTTTTTGTGCGTAAATGGACCTAGGAGGTAGCACCAAGTTGTTGATGCATTGAATCAGAAAGAAATGTAAGAGTATGTAGATATGTTTTCTAGAGATTCAAGGAGCAATTTTGGGCTAATGTTGCTTATGGAAAACTCAAACAAGAAGTTAATTAATGTTTGATTAGTAGATATTGGCTTGACAAGGAGTTGTTGGAGGCAGACTCAACATCCATTTCAGAGGTGGAGAGGTGAAAGTTGATGACAGAGTTGCATGACACTTGATGGGTGAGTCATCCATGCTTGGGAGGATGTTGTCGCTGTTGTCTCGTTCATACTACTTGCGCAAGATGGAAAAAGATATCGAGGCCTATTTGAAAATGTCTCATGTACCAGTTACACAAGTTGAAAAGAAATAAAGATGCATGATAATGGTCGCCTTTTCCTAGGCCTAACAAACCATGACAATTAGTCTTGACGGATATTATTTTAGGACTAATGAATATGAATGGCTTGAGATCAATCCTTGTGGTGGTAGATAAATTATCCATATTGTGTTCGTAGGAAAACCACGTGCATGCCCCGCAGAAGTTTATGATGAATTGTTTTAAAAGTATATGTTGGTGTCATTTGGTTACCAAAAAATGTTAGGTTTACTAGGTGATTTGGATAGTTTTTTTCAACCTAATGAGCTCAAAGTTGAAGTTCTCTATAGCGAATCGTTCATCTAAGGATGTTCAACATTTGAATCTTTCTTTGACCTCCACTATAAATAGAGGTCTAAAAGGCATTTTGGGGTCTTCTTGCACAAGAGAACTTATAAGCTAAAATTCAAAAGAGATTGTATTCTTTATTGTTAAGAGATTTGAGTTGTTGTAAGCTTTTAAGATCATTATTCTTGTCTTCATCTTTTGATTTGAGAGATTATACTTGAGCCAATAATGTTACACTGACCAAAATTTATGACGAAATTTGTAGCCCAAATGACATGACAGTTGACTTTGGCTTCTTTATTTGGTGTCATGTCATTTGAGCCCCAATAAAGACTCCAAATAATGTGCTGTCATGTTATTTGGACTTCAAATTTGGTCATAAAATTTGGTTAGCGTAGCATTACTGTACTTGAGAAGTAAGAGAGAGTAATATTGTATTCTTTCTGTGGGAGTCTTTTAAGAGAGAAATCTTTTCATTGTACTCAAAGAATAGCAGGTGTAAAGGTGTTGGAATCTCACATATTGAAGAGATTCAAGAAAGAGAAAAAGAACCTCTATATATCATTGTGTTTGCTCTCTCTCTCTCACTCGCTTTAATTTATATTGTCCTTGTTAACTCTATCTCTCACACACAATATCATTCTCATCTCATTGACAACTATGATATAGGTTAATCAATTTCACAATTAGTGAAATTGGATTTTTAATTGGACATTTGCCTTTTAAACCTAATTCACCCCCTCTTAGGTTACAGTTCTTTGTTTGTTGAATTTCCTAGTTGATTCTCTTGAATGTTGGTTGGTTGAGATCAAGTGCGCAGCTCAATGTCATCACAACAAATAGAATTGATGGGGTCAAATGACATAAGTTACAAAACATTGATTATGTAATGGCACCAGTAGCTTAGAAACTTGAAACCAGCATAAAGCTCGAGTCAGTTCCACCCAAGACTTGGTTAGAAAAGGCCTTAAACAAGACCCATACGAAATTCCATGTTTGCTGTTATCCTTGTTCATGTGCATCATTTTGCCTTACACTCGAGAAAACTCGTCCATGACTTTTGTATGCTTAACACATGAGAGTGGAAGAGCAGTTACTCATACATGTAGGAAGTTAAGGTACATCCCACAAGAAAGAGATTGATAGATCTAATGGTTTTGAACCCAATCTATGTTGCTATTGACATAGAAGAATGCCACACTATGAACATTTCATAAGCACAAACTTCCATTCCTGAATCATGAATTCTTGGAAACTTTTGGATTTTAATTGTCCTTTTGGAAGCAACAAATAGAATTGTAGAGATCCTCCTTCCCACTCATAGCAGTAAAACTCTTTGGAATGAAAATATCAATGCTTGGGACAACTCTGGAAATGCATTCATGGGTTGAGTTGCAATATGAAAACCATATATATCTTCAGCTTTTCCTTTGACCTCCATAATCTTGGCCCTCTGTTTTTCTTCATGTAGCTCCACAAATGTAGCCATATTCTTATCTTCCTCTTTTCAATTTCAAGTGGTTTCTTCAATCTTATTCTTGTTTCCACATCAGGTTCTTGCAGATCCCCATTATTAGCGTAATTAGCCATATTATTAGCACAATGCAGATAAGGCATTGACAAGGAATTTGTAAAAGTGAATGGTCCTAGTTTTTGAGCCATATTGATATCATATGGGTATTTCCCTTGAAGAACAACTAAGTTTCTCAATGTGGCATTTATTGGATCCACACAATGCTTCAACAGGAGCCATCTTGGTATTGAATTGAGGCAAAGTTGTATTTATATATTTATGACCTTGAATCAATGCCTCCAGGTCTGAGCTAATGAATCCAAATCTCAACTTAGATTAACCTTCTTACCATTGTGAAGGGAAAGATTATATTGACCAGTCGATTAAGAAGAAGATTTGGGAAGGACTGTTGTGAAGGAGTACTTAGCTCTGATTCAAAATGATGTAGGACAGATGCAGGTAGCACCTCCTACACGTCCTAGTATCAAAATTGGATTAGACAGCGGGAAAAGGTTCTTTTAGGGGCTGTTTAAAGTTTTTTTTATGGCTAAAAGGGCTGAAAAACTTATGACATCACAGGGCTTTTTAAGGTGCAAGAAGGGTTATTGAATCAGGCTAGAAATGAGGCTGTCTAGGGTCTGGGTCGTGAACATTATCCATTAATCGTTGCAAGGTTGGTATTGGTAATGCTGGCTGCTAGAGTGGAACATTTGTGAAAGAGGATGATTAGGCTTCAAAGTAGACTATTTATGGTGGTAAAATGTGATGTGATCTTCTGATTGAGCTCAATAATAACATGACGAATATCAAAAATTAAAGAAGAGAAGAAAAGGAGGACCTGCAGCTCCCTCGTGCATAAAGGTTGGGAAAAATACAAATAGACAATCTGAATTTTTCACAAGGGAAAGCCCTTTTTAATGGGAACAATCAATTGGTATTTATGCTTCTGACTTATCCTTAATCTACTTGGACTAGGACTCCAAATCAGGAAATTGTTGTCTATTTAACTTTCAGACTATTCTAGAACGAGTTCAAAAAAAAAGGAAAAAAAAAGACTATTCTAGAACACCTAGTATTGCAAATAAAAACCCAAATGACATAAATCAATCCATGGTCTATGAAACCATCAACATTTTTGCAATGATTGAATAGGTCAAAATTTCTTTTGACTTTCGAAATCGAATGTAAACTTAAAATAAATAATAACAGGAGCTGATAATATAAAAGTAGCTTACAACTAGACTTGAAGCACTCCAAAAGAACCTAAGAAAGCTGTGTGAAATACCACATTTGCCCCGAGTCACAGGTTAATCAACACTTGGATCTTTCATTACATGCAGAAGGGCATGCACAATCATGCGCATAGTTGAGTTATTGGTTGTCGAAGAAGCTGTTCCGATGCTTTATGTCGTGCTCATTTTCATATCATTTGTTATTTATGTTGTGAATGTGGCTAAAGGTTCTGCAAACAGGGAGCTGTTGGTTTGAAGATGAGAGTGTATGGTCGGGAAATGTGCTTTGTCAACTGTCACTTTGCTGCTCATTTAGAGGCTGTTGGACGCCGCAATGCTGATTTTGATCATGTGTATCGAACAATGATCTTCAATCGGCCGTTTTTCAGTGCTGCCGCTGGTATGGTTCGTTATGTATTTGTCTTGCTTGCCTGCACAATATTTTTAATTTGGCTAGCTCACAGTTATCAGTTGCCATTGGTCCTCTCTGTTGCAGCTGGTGTCTCATCCACCATTCAAATGCTTCGCTGTGCAAATGTACGTACATATTTTGGTTGGTATTGCGGCTATCTTGTCTTCAAATTGTTTTTGTCTTGGATTCATTTTTCTTACTTTTATAGTGACAGATTATGCTGTCTTCTATAGAATTTCAATTGCATTAGGGAAGTGGTTAAGTGCTGACACTTATACAGGCTATGGGTATCCACTCTGTGGAAGGAATGCCGGAGCTATCTGAGGCGGACCTGGTTGTATTTTTCGGTGACTTCAACTATCGGCTGGATGATATATCTTATGACGAAGCAAGGGATTTCATTTCCCAAAGGTGCTTTGATTGGCTGAGAGAGAGGGATCAGCTGCTTGCAGAAATGAAAGCTGGGAATGTCTTCCAAGGGATGCGTGAAGCAGTTATCAGATTTCCTCCCACATACAAATTTGAAAGGCATCAAGTTGGTTTGGCAGGTACCTTTTACCATAGATTGTGTGAGATTCTAAAACAGTTGTACTGTTTTGATTTGTCTGAAGACTCTGAATTGGATTTAACTTAACTGTACTGAGTTGTTTTGGGATTCTCATTTTCTTGCTTGTAGTTTATTCTCAGTAATTCCCTCTTACAGTCTCTTTGAAGAGAGTGATGAAGTGCTATGCTGTGGGTTTAATCTTGGTGTATCTGTCTTTTTATAGGGTATGATTCTAGTGAAAAGAAGCGCATCCCTGCTTGGTGTGACAGAATTTTATACCGTGATAGCCGTACAGCTACTATATCTTCGTGCAGTTTAGAGTGTCCTGTAGTTTCCTTAATTTCACAGTAAGTTGTTTCTATAGTTCTGTTATGCATAGATGTGTAAACTGTACATACATTACGAATGCTACATGGATTATACTCCCCACTCATGGCATGTATGTGAGGGCTTTACTTTAAAACTGTACATTATAGCTGTCTGTCTACCTATACAGAGCAGCATGTTCATTTATGAGTGAAGCAAGTTGGATGATGATCAGATGGATTTTGGTGTCTGATGGGGTGAATGACATGAATGGGATAAGGGAGAGAAAAGAAGAACCCGGGGGGGGGGGGGGGGGGAGTGATCCAATGCTGGTCTGATGAAACATTTTTTCTCCCATTGTCTTAGGGTATGTCATAAGTGTTAACCACTTTATCGGGCATCCCTTCCCTTTGTCTCTATCTATCTATCAATCTACCTACCTATCTACCTTTCTCTCTTTCTCTGTGTGTGAGTAATACTATCATGGTCTCACATCTTTTGATTAGGTATGAAGCTTGCATGGATGTGACAGACAGTGATCACAAGCCCGTCCGTTGCATATTCTGTATGGAGATCGCTCGAGTAGATGAGTCCGTGAGGAGACAGGAGTTTGGAGAAATTATTGGATCTAATGAGAAAATCATGCTCATACTTGAGGAACTTTTCAAGGTTCCTGAAGCTGTTGTTAGTACGAACAACATAATTCTCCAGAACCAGGATACATCCATTTTGCGGATTACAAATAAATGCGGGAAAGACAAAGCTCTATTTGACATAATTTGCGAAAGCGAGTCCACTGTTAAGGAAAATGGACAAGCATCCGATCATCGTGCAAGAGGTTGTTTTGGCTTTCCTCGATGGCTTGAGGTAATTTTCTGCTTCTTAGATGATTGGCAATGCTTTTTGATCATAGTGACTGAGTGTTGGACTTAGAAGCAGGTAGCATTGGCTTTTGGTAAAAGCTTACACTGTGAAGTGACATGTCCATAATATTGCCTAAAATCAAATTTGCATTGATTCGTAGGGCTCAGACAGTACCCTACCTGCTGGCCTTATTGTCAGGAATCCATATCATATGTTTGCAAGCTCAAACTTGTTTAGAAAATAGTGTAGATTTTTCTTAATGCCGTAGATGAGTCCATCAAAATTTTCCCTGTTTATAACTAATTGGCTTGAGAAGAATCTGAATCAAATCAATTTGTTTTAATGGTTGAGGTCAGATAGCTTCTCTATTCAATTACTAAGTATTTTTTTGAACTGAGAATATCTAAAGCTATTTCTTTATGTAGTTTCCTTAGAGGACCCTGAAGGTTGGGTAGTCGTTTACTAGTTCTATGTGAAGCAGAACATTAAAAATGTTTAATAATGTACTACAACCAAGCAGTGAAGTTTGGAGCATCGTGGAAACTTGATATGGTTAGATACGTATACATGGAGGATTTACTTGCCTTCAGAATCCACTTCGCTCCCATTAATACTTTATCAATTGATAACAAACGCTTTAGTTTTTTCAATGGGAATTGTGGTATATCTAGCTTGGAATAGATCTATAAATATTTTTTTGAATGGCCCAGCCAAATTATTTAGGAATTGGTGGGCACGTTGAAGTCTAAAATAAGTGGTCTTCCCGTAAGAGGAAGAACAAGGAGGAGAGAAGTAAATGCACAAAATATATCACCATTTTTCCTTTACTCATTTCTGAAATTACTGGACTTGAGCTGCAAGTGTGGTGTACTGTTGTCTATGAGGATGCGCTGAACTCTTATTCACCATCTCTTTTTCACAGCCCCACTTAGACTCTCTCGTTTCTTTGATATTGGCATATAGAAAGTCAACTCTGCAAAGGGAAGGGCCTTTCCCTTAATTTATAGGACCATAGTTATCTTCCCCATGCGTTTGATAGTGGCTATGGTGATGGATCTCATTGACTTCTCTTTTATATTTTTTGCATCTACCAGAGTTTTATGATTTGTTAGCCAAATGATTTTCTGACACAGGCATTTCATTTCATGAAACGTTCAAGCTGAAGCATTATTTGAACGTAAACCTTGAAACAATCTTCTCATGCGTCAGGATTTTCCAGTTCCTTTATAGGTGTACTTGATGTAAGAAAACATAAATGGTAGTCTTTGAGATGTATGTGCATTCAAGTATCTTACCCTTTACCCTTTTTCTTTCCTACTATAAACAATGGCTTTGTGCATATTTTTTCAGGAGCCATATGTTGTTTGCAGAGGTTATGGTCTCTTTGGAGGCTAACAACCAGGGTTTTGTGGCCCACACTGGGTAGGCAGTTGTTTTGGGCCCAAAAAGCGTCCCTTTTGGTTATAGGGTGATTTTTATTTATTTATTTATTTTTTTGTGTCTTCATGGATACAAGGAGTATTTTAAGTTTCTATAGGAGTACTTAGCACGGACATGAATGTACACACGTACACAGTCATAACATAGCACAGCACAGACATGCTTATTCGGGAAATCCTGGAAATGTTGAATGCACAGCAAGGACACAACAATATATAATACGGTATCTTAGGAGATATATAAAATGAATAAAACTTCTCTCTCTCTCTCCAGATGATGGGTTTGAATGGTCATTCACTCCATTGTTGGACTGCTGTTAGGTTGTTACCACTAGGATGAGACAGTAGTTCACCCAAGTAGGTCTTATTTTGCTCACAAAATCTTTTCCTACTTTTCATGTGTACTTTGTCCTTTGAGTTATTTGGTTTCAGTTTATAGTTGCTTGAATATATAATTTGTTTGTATTTTATACGAATAATACGAAACCAGAGGGAAGAGTAGTCGTTAGTTACATTTCCATTATAAGGTATGCTAATTTGGTTGCACAAATTTAAGGAGTTATTTTAACTCAATTCAAATGGCATTTTCATCGACCCATTAATTCGCATCAAACACCTTTCATTGCTATCTTCAGGGGCGGAGCCAGCATTCAAGTTTAGAGGGGGCAAAATATGGCCAAAGAATTTCATCAAAGTGGCCTAGTGCATGAGGCTTTGGTCTATGCAAGTTTTAGTTTTGGGGAGGGTCAGATGTATACAATGAATACAAAAAAAATTAAAATCCAAACACGACAAAAGATATATAAGGTTTAAGACTAAATTATTTGATGAAACTAGTTTCTATTTATTCTTAATAAAAATGAGCAAAAAAGACACAAAAAAATCCAAAAATATCTAGTAAATATATATACCGGCTATGACATTTCACATATTTTTTATTCAATCCAAAAATAAAATATTTGTTTTAGGAGGACAATTGACTATTAATTTATAAAAAAATCAAAAATCTTAGTTCACGTTACCAATTTTCAAGAAATTAGGAGGCAAATTTAATAAATTGATCTAAGTAATAAGTAATATGTAAAGGAAATTCAAAAGTCAGGGGGGTATCCCTTGTCCCAATGTGGCTCCGCCCTTGGCTTTCTTAATATACAACTTTGTGGTTTTGAAATCTTTTGCTGGATCTGGAGTCAAATTTGGCTTATGTTATAGTTGTGCATTTGAACCAGGTCAATCCAGCTTCTGGCGTAATCGAACCAGGTAATATTGTGGAGATTTCAGTTCACCATGAGGAATTCCAAACATTGGAGGAGTTTGTTGATGGCATCCCGCAAAACTGGTGGTGTGAAGATGCTAGAGACAAGGAAGTAATATTGGTGGTTAGGGTTCGTGGAAGCTGCACGACGGAGTCAAAAAGTCATCGTATCCGTGTGCGCCACAGTTTCTCAGCCAAGTCTATGCCTATGGAGCGTAAATCAAACAAGTCAAGCAGTGTCCAGGCAAATGTCCTTCACAGGTCTGATTTTCAGCGACTCAGCTGTTCCACTGATATGGTTGACCAACTACGAAATCTGCATAGTCCTTGAACCAGTGAAGATGTTGTCAGGATGGAAGATCTGCTGATTGATATGGAGGCAAGGACTTCATTGTCTTTTTGGCAAACATTAGGGATCACCCTGATCACCAGCATCTTGTATATAAAATATCCAGATCCTGAATACCATTCTTCACCATCCTCAGATAAATTGGGTTCTCTTTGCGATTTTTGTAAACACCCAGAGCCAATTCTTTGGACCTCTTTAGTTTCTTTCTGAATCCAATATGTTAATTTTTATGGATTCCAATAGCCCAGTTGTAAGTGTATAGAAAAATTGAATGCCTCAAGGAGTAATGAAGCTGGTGCAGGGCTTCCCTATTGATCTCAGTTTTCAGATGGGGAGTTCAATTAGCTGAGGAAGAACTGGATTTGGTATGTTTTCCGTTTTACTTTTTTGAGTTTGTTGTACACTAGAAGTTGATGAAAAAGCTGAAAGGGTTGAGGGTTTTTAGTTTTCTCTAGCCTTGCCATTTTGTTTAAGTAAATTTTTATTGTAAAATTGGGTATATTGACTTTCTTCAATAAAGTCCATTAGCAATACGGAAATTGTCTGTGTAAATTTTTTTTTCCTACTGGTAGCTATCGTTATGATGGTGTAATACATGGATTGATGGGTTTTATTTTAGACTTAAATATGAAAACATGGGGTGCAGAAGTTGTCTGGGGTTAATTACACTTGGCTGCGTTGGCATCAGTCCCCATTGTTTCTTAAGTGGTAGTTTTCTCACATTGTCCTCCCAATTAGCTAAATGTTTCATTTGTCGTACTTAAATGCATGGTAGATGATCAGTCAAGAAAGAAATTAAAGAGAAAATACAGTGGCGGAGATCTCAACCTGACTATGACATATTTGGGTTTTTAAACAAATCTTGCAACTGATGGATTCCAACAGGTTATACAAGCTGAGCATTCTGGAGTGACTTGTATGAAAACGTTCCCTTTTGCTCATCTTTTATTTTTAGTCCATGGAGTTTCAATTCATTTTGCACTCTCTCTCCGGTCGCTACATCTCTTCCGCTTGGATCCGACTACGGTACTGACATTGGGTTTTTTGGTACCATACTGAAAAACCAATGTGGGTCATTGATCGGTCTGTCAATTAGTAGGAACCGTTAATCAATTTGTACTTTTACTTTTTATATTTTTCAGAGTGGTAACCGGGGTTACCTTCTAAATTGGTAATGATTAAAAAATTATTATATATTTTAAAACAGTACATGTCAGAAAGTACAAGACAATAAACTTTGTCAAAAGTACAAGTCAAATAAGTACAATCAATTTTCTACAACCATTTAAAGTCATATTTACTACTTCTATGGGTAATAGTACTGCAATTAAGGTAAAATTACCAACAATGTGGATAAATTTACTACATTTAAAGTTCACGTTATAAAGTTTATGGGTTAATTTATGACTAAAATGAGTTAAGTTAAAAATAAAGTGGACGAATTTATAACAACTTTGATAAAATTACAGCAATTAAGAGTATATTTACAACAGTTTAAGATTAAGTTACAACAATAGTAAATAAAGTTACAAGAGTATATGTCAAACTTACTGTTGTACAGGTTAAATTACTAATATTATAAACTCAATGGTAAATGTATACTAACGATGACATCCTTATCCTAAATAGTGGTAAATTCACTCTAAGTACTAGTAATATCACCCAAAATCATTGTAATATTGTCCCTAACAGTGATAACAATATCCCAAATAGTAGTAAAATTACTCAAAAAGTGGTAATTTCACCTAAAATTATAATAAATTCACCCAAACCATTGTCATAGCACCCCAAACGGTGGTATTTTTTATCAAATTAAAATTTAATCTGATTAACATTCAAATTTATCAAATCAATATTCAAATTCATCAAATTAATATTTAATTCATCAAATTAACAACGGATTAACATTGAATTCATCAAATTAATATTCAATTTCATCAAATTAACATTCAGTTCATCCAATTAATATTCAATTTATCAAATTAACATACAAAATCATCCAATAATATTCACAATAAATAAAGGATTGAATTGAGATCGAGACCTATTGGGAAACTTAGAGAAGGAAAATCCATAAAAGAAATCCTTTAGTGGGGAAGTTTAAGGGGAGATGAATTGGGCACCCACACACATGGGGGTGGGTAGGTCGGTGTGATCTATGCGAGGTGAGGTTGGTTCAAAATCAGTTTTTCCCTCAAAGTCGTTGTAAGGTTCAATGGTCACTTATGATATAATCAAATCAAGCTTTCTCATACCAGGAACTTCATCAAATTAATATACAAAATCATCTAATAAATATTTAATTCATCAAATCAACACTAAAGTACCATACAATTTCATCCAATTAACATTCGATTCATCGAATTGATATCAAATTAATATTCAATTCATCAAATTACCACAAACTTATCAATTCAATTCATCAAATTAACATTCAAATTCAACTGGTGAACATTAAATTTATTAACTTAACATTATTTTTTCTCTTCATGAGTGTGTGTTTTTTCTCCTCTTCATGAGTTCATCAACCTTACCACACCAAATTCCACCAAAACCTCTAGATATTTCCATAAACACACCACAAACCTTTGTTTCTCTATTCAAAAACCAACCACATCAGCCTATCGATGGATCATCACAAGAAAAAATTGACAAACCTATAGTGTTCTATGAAGGAGAACCAACATTCTCCTTCACAAATGAAGAAATCCAGAAGTCAAGTCAAACTCTCCAATATGCCTTAATCAATAAATGCTCTTATGGGAGGCCTTCTCTAGGGGTCATTAAAGAGGTAATTAGATACAAATGGAGTTTGAAAGGGTACTTTGAAGTTGGAGCTATTATCAGAGGCATGTCCTCCTAAGGTTTGAATTGCAGGAAGACTTTGTGAAGACATGACTTAAAGATGCAACCTTGATTGAGGATTACCTCTTTAGATTTTTTAAATGGTTTTCGAAATTTGTTCCAGGCATAGAACCTTCAATTGTCCCCTTATGGATCTCGCTGCCTGGTTTACCCTTAAACTTTTTCAAGAAGCCTTACTTAACTTTTGGTCAAGCCCATGGGCAAGGTGTTGGCATACGATCAGGCCACGCTAAATTTGTCAAAGCCAGGGGTCGCAAGGGTATGTGTAGAAGTTAATCTCCTTCACAATAATCCAAATAGAATCTGGATTGATATGGGAGAAGATGGAGCTAGATGGCAAATCCTAAATCTCTGAAAGAAGCAAGCTATTCTGCAAAATCTGCAAGAAGCAAGGCCATGGCGATGAAGCATGCAGGAAAAGGAAAGTCTCTCCTCAGAAGGAAGACAGTCAAGGAAAGAATATGGAATTGGCAACAAAATCCACAAAAAAGGCAAGTAAAGATCAATCGAAGGGGAAGGAGATACAACAAGATCAAAATCCTGTGAAACCTCATAAGGTAACTCATAATCATATAACAATCCAGCCACAATCAAAGTAGACAAATTTGGCTCAGCATCATAAAACCAAGCAAGTCAATATTTCAGAAAAAGTAACAACAATTTCTTTTGGAAATACAGCAAATAACGTCCAAGAAATCAGGGATGTTGGCAAGGATGTATCAATTAAAGTACTGGAAAATGGGGAGCATTCTGGCAAGGATAATGCAAATAATATTGGGGGAGATATCCTATCTAAGGCAAGTGTAACAATCCCAAATTCGGTAAATCCACTAGTTCCTCATCCAGCGCTGATCATGGAGGAACAAGAATGTGCAGAACAGTCTGTCAATGATGATCCAAACATAAGCGGTTCCAAGCGTGTTCTTGAGATTCAAGATTTAGATAATGCAAACGATATGCAAGTTGACCTGGAAGTGGTGGAGAAAGTTGCAGAAAAGTCTATAGAAGAAGACTCCCACTTAGACAAAAATGGTGATGATGTTAATCTCTGTCAAACTTTATTAAACTTAGAAGCTGTTGATCCTATGGTGGAGGTTTCTGTTACTCCAAGTAAGTCTCTTGGGGGTTCTTTAAATGGAAAGGTGACGACTAACAATACTACAAGAACAATCTCTTTCAACTTGATTAATCTGAATCATGAGGATGGTGAGATTTTTTCCAGTTCAGATGATGATCCTAAGGATGGTATTGAAGATTCTTTGGTAGAGGTTTCCATTGATTATGATCCATGTATTCTAAATAAGCAAGACAATGATTCTTTGTACAAGCCAATTCTTGTTACCAAGCAGATGGTGGAGGCAGTTCATCAGCGTGTCCACAGTCAAGAGGAGTTGATCCCAAAAATGTCTAGGGAAGAGATTCATCAAGCATTGAAATCAAATGACACTTTCTCTAAGGATGACTATGTCAAAAAGCCTATTGTTCATGAAAATACAAGAGGCTTTTTTTCTGATGGAGAGGATGATGTTTTAGCACCTATTCTAGATTCTGAATCTTTTATGGCTACATCCAAGGAACTACAGAGAAAGCTCAATAATGTTGAGAAGAAAAGAAAACAAAAAGAGGAAGAGCTGGCTGCTTTGGCGTTGGGTTTGAATACCATTGGCTGCTTTGGCGTTGACTTTGAATACCGTTCCAGCGGGGAAAGATTCTTCACGAATGACTAGGTTCAAATCCAAGTCCATACTAGCATTCAAAATTCTAAAGCAAAATAATAAATATGGTTTCAGACATTGATGGAGCTGATTCGGGGATTTCATGGAGGTTTTCTATAAATCTTTGTCATGGTTCAAAGAAAGTCTTAGCAGAGTAGACTCCTCCTGGGTTTTTCAGCTGGACTCCTTGCTGCAGTTGGAATTCATGTTACTGCAATTCAGATGCAGTTAATGGCCTAGCTGGACCTTTTCATCGAGCATGGACTGCTGCTGCCCAGATGCCACTTTTCACGTTACTGTGCAAGCTGGAATTTTTTTGGCTGCTTCAGCTGAACTGGATTTTATGCTACAGCTGGAATGCTCAATGTTCTAAGCTGCTACATTAATGCAACCTTCATTATTTCTTGCAACTAGTTTTTCTTCGTGGATTACAAAGCAGCATGCTCCTTAAATCTGTCCAGTTTACTATTCACCTTACGGTTCACATTTTTAAGCAGGACGTCTCTGACTGCTGCAGCTGGACTCTTCATTGATATTGGGCTACTCGGCTGACTCTTCATCGATATTGCATGGAATATTGGACTGCTCAGCAGAACGGGAGATCTGCTGCCCACCAAATCTTGCCTTTTTCAGAAATTTACTCCAACGTTGGGAAGGTAAGTGCTTGAGTCATACTAAAAGTTAGGGAAGCTACAAAGAATTGCATGAAATATGATCTTTGCCATGGGACCTACCATGTGAAGGAAATTTCCAAATTGACTTTTTTGGGTGAATGGATTTCAAGCATTTGAGATCAAATGTGATGGGACCCATCATGTGAAAGTAATTTCTAAAGGAGATTTGGGCATCAAGAATATGATGATACATGTAATTGCACTCAAAGTAAACTTTTAAATTTCTTTTATTATGTAAGGGGCAAGGTTTATGTCCTCCCCTATTTTCTTAAAAAAAAAATGAATATGATTGTTGATTTGAT